TGTTCACTGTATCGTACGAGCAAATAGGAACGATAAAATTTTTATTTATTATTTAAATATGAAGTTTCATCTCGAATCTTATTTATATTTTAAGCTTACAAATATATGTAACTACATTTTATGCATACTAATATAATAAAAATTGATCAATAGTGGCTAATTATTTAAAATTTAAATTATATTAAAGATATAAATTTAAAACTAAAATCACTTTTTTAGTTTTACACTAATAAAAGAAAACTACCTATTGTATTTATTTATGAAAAAATTATTTTGATTCTTTCATTTTTCTATAAGTTATGACAGTTTAAAAAATAAAAAATTTTTAAATTTCGAAATTTATCTATTTAAAAATCGTAATTTTATAGGGGATTTTCATTTACGAGAAACCAGGGAAATTTTATCAATTTTTAAGGGTAATATTNATCTATTTAAAAATCGTAATTTTATAGGGGATTTTCATTTACGAGAAACCAGGGAAATTTTATCAATTTTTAAGGGTAATATTTTCAACTAGATACGAGTTGTGATCTTTTAATTTATAGTTGAAAAAATCAGTCCAATAAAAGCCATAAAAAGGTAGTGACAAACAAACATAAAAAAATCATATCATAGTAAAATTAATACTTTCTTAGCTTTGCAAGGAAGCAAAAATATTCTTTAATCATAATCTAAGAAAACAATAATTATTTAAAAAAAAAAAAAATTCAAAAAAAATATTAATATTATTAATATTACAATTTTACTTTTAAATAAAAATGAATTGATAATACCTATTTTTTATTTCAATAAGCTGATGGATATATGACGGAAAAGCAATTTTTAAATATAATGGCAAAGATTATCATTAGAGTTGAGAAAATCATTAACAATGTTTATAATACTTACCTCAAAGATAATGTGATGACTAAAACACAATTAAAAGAAGCTCTTAAAATGTACAATATCAATCTTGAAGATTCTAAAATTACTAAAATAATGACTCATTTTGCAGGTCAAAATGAAAATATCACTTTCAATGGTAAAATAAATATTTCATATAATTGTTTAGACTTATACTACCCATCTAAGGTCAATGTAATATCTTTCAAAAAAGTTTCTTAACTCCAAGATTTATATTTAATCCGTTGTCAGGATTGTGAATGGTATCTCCATTTACTGAATTTATTTATAGTCAGCAATATGGAACCATTTACAATAGTCCCATATGCCATTAAGCGTCATGAAATATCACTTTTAGGACTTGATCTTAATTAGTAGAAAAAAGTATTTCTAATTTTACTTGATATAAAATAAATTTTGACTATATAAAATTATGTATTAAATATTATTTGTAATCAAGTAACTTTTAAAATAAATAATTCAACTTAATATACCTGATATTTTTGTAAAATAATTTTTTATTAGTTACCAAGAAAAACAGTTATGCGGTCAAAATATTTTAAAAACTTTAGAATATGACATCATTATTTTTTATAATATAAAATATATATTTGTGTATAGTGTCAATAAAATTAAGTGATAATACATAAAAATAGCGGATATATTCTCTTATTTTTATTATTATCATTAAGAAGTTATAGCTGATAAAAAATTATTTCATTAATTTATCAAGCTAAATAATTTAGTGTATTAATTAAAAAACTGATATCTAGTTACATTTGATCAATTAATAATTTTTTTGTCTATTTCCTTTTTTTTAGTATTCAGAGAAATATTAGGGTTTTTACTACACATGAATAACCCTTCGCTACGGTCGTAATGTNATTTAAAAATCGTAATTTTATAGGGGATTTTCATTTACGAGAAACCAGGGAAATTTTATCAATTTTTAAGGGTAATATTTTCAACTAGATACGAGTTGTGATCTTTTAATTTATAGTTGAAAAAATCAGTCCAATAAAAGCCATAAAAAGGTAGTGACAAACAAACATAAAAAAATCATATCATAGTAAAATTAATACTTTCTTAGCTTTGCAAGGAAGCAAAAATATTCTTTAATCATAATCTAAGAAAACAATAATTATTTAAAAAAAAAAAAAATTCAAAAAAAATATTAATATTATTAATATTACAATTTTACTTTTAAATAAAAATGAATTGATAATACCTATTTTTTATTTCAATAAGCTGATGGATATATGACGGAAAAGCAATTTTTAAATATAATGGCAAAGATTATCATTAGAGTTGAGAAAATCATTAACAATGTTTATAATACTTACCTCAAAGATAATGTGATGACTAAAACACAATTAAAAGAAGCTCTTAAAATGTACAATATCAATCTTGAAGATTCTAAAATTACTAAAATAATGACTCATTTTGCAGGTCAAAATGAAAATATCACTTTCAATGGTAAAATAAATATTTCATATAATTGTTTAGACTTATACTACCCATCTAAGGTCAATGTAATATCTTTCAAAAAAGTTTCTTAACTCCAAGATTTATATTTAATCCGTTGTCAGGATTGTGAATGGTATCTCCATTTACTGAATTTATTTATAGTCAGCAATATGGAACCATTTACAATAGTCCCATATGCCATTAAGCGTCATGAAATATCACTTTTAGGACTTGATCTTAATTAGTAGAAAAAAGTATTTCTAATTTTACTTGATATAAAATAAATTTTGACTATATAAAATTATGTATTAAATATTATTTGTAATCAAGTAACTTTTAAAATAAATAATTCAACTTAATATACCTGATATTTTTGTAAAATAATTTTTGATTAGTTACCAAGAAAAACAGTTATGCGGTCAAAATATTTTAAAAACTTTAGAATATGACATCATTATTTTTTATAATATAAAATATATATTTGTGTATAGTGTCAATAAAATTAAGTGATAATACATAAAAATAGCGGATATATTCTCTTATTTTTATTATTATCATTAAGAAGTTATAGCTGATAAAAAATTATTTCATTAATTTATCAAGCTAAATAATTTAGTGTATTAATTAAAAAACTGATATCTAGTTACATTTGATCAATTAATAATTTTTTTGTCTATTTCCTTTTTTTTAGTATTCAGAGAAATATTAGGGTTTTTACTACACATGAATAACCCTTCGCTACGGTCGTAATGTACTCGTCACTATCATAATATGGATTAACATTGGTCTTCTTTGTTTGTGTCAACAATAATGGTTGTTTATTAAATCTTTTCATTTAAAATTATTAACACTTTTATTTACAAATTGTATTCATATGCTTAAAATAATGATTGTTTTTAATCAAATAATTTAAATAAATAACTTAGAAAAATATTTAACAAACACATACTATTGATTAATATATTATATTACACACGATTCAGCAATGAGTCAATTATTAGTAATCATCTTTAAAAATCTTTATACCTTCCAATTCTTTTAAATTTTATCTTAATAATAAAAACAATGTGTCAACCCTAATCCTAAATGTAAAAACAAACTATATTAACATTATATAAAATATCAAAATGATTTGTATATTATTCACATATATTAATTTATAGGCAAAATTATCAAAATAAGCATAAATTTATATTTAACGTGAGTTAGATTCATGTAAATTTTATGTTTAATGGTTAACTCATTACTATGGCAAACCCTTATAAGGTATTTTAAAACAAAAAAAAATGAACACAAAAATAACATGTTTTTAACTACGACATCTATTTGCACATTGAAGATAAGTCGTCCAAACGTATGAAAATAAATTACATAAGCTTAAATTTGACAAATGTTTTAAAAATGCAATATTTTCGTAACATTTTTAAAACTTAAATTGAAAAAGTTGAGTTTTGTAAAAAAAGTTATTAATTTGAATCACCCTCTGTGGGCAAGTAAAGAACCAGATTTTCAAAAATATTATATCAAATAAAAGGGAAATGCATAAGGCTTCAATATAAAAAAAAAAGATATTTTGGTTCGTTAATTATTCAATATGTGATGGAAGTTTTAAGCACCAAAATAATATTGATTTTTTACACGAAAATGATATTTCTGTTCAATTTTGACGGTAATTTTCACATAGAAGTTAGATCGTCGGGAACATTTTTTTTTTTATCTTATAGTATATAATTAAAGCTTTAATTTAACATATGTTTAAAGGACGCAGTATTTCCGGAATATTTTCAAAAGTTGAAAAATTTCTACTTTTTATATGTGTGTTTCAAGAGTGCCCCTTTATAAGGGGAAAATGCCCGATTTAAAAAAAAATATGTCGAATGAAAGGGGTATATATAATGTATTTCAAAACAAAAATTTGTGTTGATCTATAAATTGTTCGAAAAGTTATAGTAATTTAAAGTTGAAAATTTAAAATCGAAAATTTTAACACAAAAATAGCATTTTTTTAACTACAGCAATTGTTTTAACTACGTTTGCGCGTAGATGATTCGTCGTTGGGACAATTTTTTTTTTAAATTATTGACTTATTATACGCTTCAATATGATATATGTTTAAAATACGCAGTATTCGCAGAATATTTTCAAAAGTTAAGTTGAAAAAGTTAAATTTTTAAAAAAAGTTGCTATTTTGAAACCCTTCTCGTGGGCAGGTAACGGATCTGATTTTCAAAAATATTCTATCAAATAAAAGGAAAATGCATAATGTTAATAAAAAAAAAAATTATTTTGATTTGTTCATTTTTCAATAACTTATAACAATTTTTAGAAAAAAAAAATGTCGAATTTTAAAATCGTAATTTTTAGGGTATTTTCACCATTTATATTACATTTATATTCATATTTTGAGGGAAAATTTTTTATTTTTTAGGGTAATGTTTTCAGCTAGATACGATTTATGATCTTTTGACGTAGATAAATTAACACATCATAGTAAAATTAATATGTTCTCAATTTCGCATCGAAGCTAATGATATGTATTATTAAGAGTAAAATTTATAAATTACCGAATTTTTTTATATGATCACTAAAATCCACCAAAAAATAGCTTAACCAGTTTTTTAACTTGGTAACAATAAAGGGGACCTAGTGTTAATCATAAATATGTAATAATTAATACAATTAATTAATTAGTTAATAATAGCGTTTATGACGCTAATCGCATATGAATTATAGCTAAAATGGTATATAAAAAGCTTAGAAAATGTTCATAATACTTTTCGGGTTTAGACTTTCAGTTTTTAGTTGCACTCAATTCACTTTTCAAGTCTTATCTGAAAGAAGTGCCAAGTATCGAAAAAGTCATATACAATGAGCAATTATTCATACGCAAAATTTGTTGTTATTAAAGAAGAAAAACGAGTTATATTTATTTATCGGAAATATTATTATTTTACTAAATCAAACTATAAAGTTTGAAGTTGAGTATTTTGAGGAGTAGAATTGGCACGATGTCAATTGACTGGTCAAAATTTTAGTTAATTAACGAAAGAAATTTTGACCGGTTATAATCTGGTCAAAATAAAAAATTTACGTTTAAGTTTTTAATTTTATTATACAACACGATATTCATGCACATTTTATAAAAGTTTTTATTTAACTTTTTTTGTGGCACTATCACGTTAAAAATTTGAAAGTTAAATTAGTTTAACGTTTTAACTAGATACCTTAATAAGTAACTTTGGTTTTATTTTTAATAAATTAATGTTCAGTAATTGTGATTAGTGGCGGATTTAACGTCATAGTGATATTGGTATTATAAAACTGTAAAAAATAGATTCTCTTATTGTAATTTTTATGATGGAATTTATTCTTCCTTGAGAAAACAATTACCTATTATATATACAGCAAAATATTTCATTAGATAACATAACTTAGGTTAAAAGTTATTAGTACTATTTGAGGTAACTAGTAACTTAACTGTGTTTTGACACGGCTGCTGGGCATTGTCGGCTGGCACAGTACGAACCTGCGACCCACAGCGTAGTGGAAACAAAACATAGATTACCACACACTTATGATTTAGATCACAATACACTTCTATATAGATTGGTAACGCATTGTGCGGCTGAGAGAAACATATGGCACTGTGTAAAAATAAACATTATTTTTTAGTGAATTTTAACATTTGACATGTGCACATCTAGTCAATTGAAAGCAAAAGATTTTGACTGGTCAAAGCCCCAAACCTAATTTTAAGTAAACAATCTAAGTAAAGAATTATAAAGCAAATACATGTATATACGTATATCAATTTCAAACTTTAATAAATTATCACTGATTAGTTCGCAATTTATGCATATATCTATGTTTAAAATGTATCCTTCTCTCGAATACCCTGTAATGTGTCGATACATTACAAGATATTCGACAGATGACCAGAGCCGCTCCTCTGCCTAAAAGAGTTGTATTAATAATTCCCACTGTATAAATCGACACTTCAACTAGGTAATTGTGGTTCAGCATTGCCGCTGATAACCAGTTATATTGTTTTTATACGACAACAAAGAGGATAATTAATTAATTACTTTTATAACTACTTGTCTTCTAAGCCCTCGACTCAAACCCTGAGAAAAATACACTATTTTATTCAATATATAGTAACCCAAATTATTTAGTTTAGTCCAACCAGCAAAATTTTTTTTTTTTTGAGTTACATATCACTTTTAAAGCTGTATTGATAATAAATTGAATTAGTTTGGGAGATTTTATTGTTGTATAAATTATGGTAATTTTATTATTCGTGTATTAATATTATTGTAACCTTATCTATGATTGTCAAACGACTGTTACCCATGTGTACTTATTTAGTAGCAGTAGTAGTATTTCGCCGACCGTTGTGCATGAGTGACTTATTGTTGTTTTACTGAATAAAACATTAAAGATATTTTTACGTCGTGTTATTAATTGTTTTGTAATTATTTCTTCTCCTTTTCTATGCGCACACAGGCATTCGTGGGCTTTCTTATACTGACTGTTTTCGTTACAACCTCAACATCATACTTTATATAAATTTAAGTATTAGTGTGTTACTACAAAATGTTATTTTGAAAGGAGCTATGAAGGATATTTTTTGTTAATAATAATTTTTTATTATTGCTTAAAAAATAAGTCGANTTAATAAAATTTTTTTATTATTGCTTAAAAAAATAAGTCGTTGAACGAAAAAAAAATGTATTATCATTACAATAATTGACTAAGAATTGAAATGATTTTCAAGAATAGTGAAGAATGATTGCAATTCTCTAAACTCCCCTACCTGTTAGTACTACTGCTTTGTTTTAATGATTTTTGAATAATTATGCAACATATAATAAAGAGACAATAAATTTTCATATAAAACTTTTAACCTTTATTACACAAAGTGTTCAATAAGTAAAAAACCAAATCAATATTAATGAGCAATAAAAAAAATGAAAACCTCAGTTTTTACTTTTTAAACGCCCAAGAAGGTCCACGATATTTTGACACTAATATTAATTTTGATTTACCACATTTGTTTCGTTATTATTATTAATTTTTTTTTTTAATAATTTTAAAAATTCTTAGGCTACGTTAAAATTATATTTTTTATTATTTTTTTAAAATCTATTTTTGAAATATTTTGTACGCACTTAATATAAGTTATGAAAAATATTAAAAACACGTTTTTTATGAACAAAAGTGACATTTATTTGAAAAATAAGATATATACAGAGTGGCCCACCTATGACGGAAAAGCAATTTTTAAATATAATGGCAAAGATTATCATTAGAGTTGAGAAAATCATTAACAATGTTTATAATACTTACCTCAAAGATAATGTGATGACTAAAACACAATTAAAAGAAGCTCTTAAAATGTACAATATCAATCTTGAAGATTCTAAAATTACTAAAATAATGACTCATTTTGCAGGTCAAAATGAAAATATCACTTTCAATGGTAAAATAAATATTTCATATAATTGTTTAGACTTATACTACCCATCTAAGGTCAATGTAANAATACCATGATAAGAAATTAGATAAGGCAATTATTACTTATCACTCTCATTCAAAAGTATATTAAAAAGATAGCGTTTTCTTCTGTCCTTTTCTCAATACGTATACAATGTTTATAACCGTAAAATAATACATGAAAATTCAAATTTTCACAAACTTCAAAACGCTACAGAATATTTACTACTCAATATTAATAAGATATTTTTTTACTAAAATTTTTCTTAAATTCTACTCTACAAAATAGCTATCTTAGATTTTTTTTTTACATTTTATTTAAAATTTAAAAATAATTAATATTTTTAATAAAATGTAAAAAAATTAATTATTGAGATATAGCTATGGACCTAACGTATAACTATTATTTAAAAAAAAAATCAGCTAAAAATATTAACTGGATCAAAAGTTATTTAAGTTGTCAGTGAGTGGTGGGCCACCCTGTATATATATTCCATACTTTACATAATATGGACTAACATTTGATACCATAAGAAAATTGTAAAAAAAAATCAAAAATCAACAAATATCAATGATGTATAAACGTAATTATTGAGTTAAAATAAGAATTTTTGGTATAAAAATTTTTCTTTAAAACCTATCTATAAAATGGCTATCTTCAAATCTTAAAAAAAACTTAATTAAAAAAATAGTTATAATAATTATGCACATAAGTTTTCTACAAAGAGTATTAAATATTTTTTAGAGAAAACTAACTAAAAACTGTTATATGTTTGATCTTGGATAATTTTTGCTAATTTTAAAATTTACATAAAATTGAGTGAAATTTAAAATATTCTAGTATTTTAATAAATACCACTTAAATTTTTTTCCTCAATAGTTTCCACCAATATATTGAAGATTTTTTTGGATTTTTCCAAAATTGGATTTTTCTCAAAAATGTTTACAATGGTTTTCATGATATTATATGATAGAACGTTTAAAGTTTCACTCTATTTTATGCAAATTCTAAAATGCTAATTTTGCAAGAACAAACCATTCTTGGTACATACCAAAACTTACATATGTGTTATTAATAAACTTAATTGGCTTAGATTTAATGTTACCTAAGGCAGGCACAGTTTTTTAAGCAATAATTATTGTTAAAAAAGTATTTTTATAAATTTTTTAATCGTCCAATATTGTAGAATTTATACTGCCTAAGTAAAAACCTTAAGAAGTTGTTACGTACAATAATTCGCCTTCATCAACATTAATAATTAACAACTATACTAATACCTCATCAGCACAAACTGTGAGTATGCAGCCGACAGGTGTAAATAAACCATATCTCCTTTACAATCTTCTTGAATTAATTAAAAACATAACGAAGACAGTAGACATTTTATCAAGCTTGCGGCAACTTATCTTTATTGATCTGATAACTTAACTCACATAGTATTATTATGAATACTAAAATAAATACTATTAATATTATTAAAGGGTTTGTGAACACTCGTCGCCATCACTCACCTAACTTGGATACCACCAGCATCCCTGGAGATTCAGTCAGATTATATTTTAAATAATATTAAATAGAAATAAATACTCGTTATTGTTGTTAATTGAGAGTCTGTATTAATTTGGTAACAAAACTGCAGACTGCCCTTCTAGTGGGATATAAATTATATAGGGCCAACGTTGCCCCATTTAGGTACAGCATTATGTCATTTGAATTACTATTATTTAAAAATAGCTTTACTGAATTTCTGCAATAAATAAACATAATAGTTAACACATAGAATGTTATGAATAAATTTTGTGATACAAACAAAACTGCTAAAGATACCTTTTTATTCTGGCATCACTTTGGCCATTCGTGGTCTTATGTATTGTATACTTTGTGCTTTAGTTGAAATGGGGGACTTGGTTTGTATTGCAGCATACAAGATATAACATAAAACATTTTTTATAAAATATATTAAACTTATTTTAAAATAGATTTATAAATTACATTATAAATGTAAAAACATTTAAAAATAAGTTAACTATTTTTGTATATAATAATATAAAAAATAGTTGAAATCTGCAATTGTATAAATTCAATAATTATAAACTTTTGTAAAATTAATATTGATAAAAAAAATAACATAATAATGAAACATTAAATTTGGAATGCCGTGTAGAAAATTATATTAAAACACATAGGTATTTGTGTACATTATTATTTGGTAATACACATTATTACCAATTATTACTCTATGAATAGTTCTATCTTCTAGACTTTTTTTTTTTTTTTTTTTGTCCTTTTCAGCTGTAACCCAAAATAAAATTATCTATAAACATTAATCTCATGGTAGTTGGAACTACCATGAAGACTGAATGAAATTGTAGATACCTATAAAAGTTTCATTATATATTTGCAGAATGGTTAATCATTAAATTCAGTAAAAATAAAAAATATTAACATTATTTACCAGCTTGTGATAATACTTGAGATTTGCAATTTTCTTTTTCAACACGTTTGAAGCTTTCTTCATTTTTTATTGGAAATTCTTGTTTCATTTCTTGATTAAAAACAAGTTTTATTATTAGCATCATTCATAAGATGATGTTTAATGAAAAACATTGTATCCTTCAATTTAATTATACCAGCTAAAATAATAATTTATTTAAAAACTGATTATTTAGGTAAAATTTAAGTCACTTACACTGACTAGAAATAAAACATAATTCTGACACTTAACGTTTATGATCATTTTTACTAGAGCGGGATTTGTTGAGTTGGGCAGGAGAATTTGTAATAGAAATTGGAGTTAAACATGACATAGTTGACACTTCTGTTGTGATAACATTCAATTTTCTTTTTTTTACAACACTTAAATGTTCAGTGAATGGTATAGGGAATTGACATTCTGAAGTGGTGGGAAACTGACTACTGTTGCAGGAATTTCAGTAGGATCTTTAAATGGATATATATTTTAATAAATTTCCTCATCTCTATAATCTAAAATAATTCTTGAGGAAAGTTAATTTGTCGACCTTTGCACCTTATCTAATCAAATTCTAAATTTCTTTCTATTTGATTTTTGAGGGCTTTAACCATAATTTTGTATCCTTTTTCAAAGTCGTATATAAGTTTATCACTATTATAAATTATAGTTTAAACTCCTTCCCTAAATAATAATAATTACTTGTATATTTAACTATTGCAAAATCTTTTAAATTGCCATTATTGCACATGTATTCGAAGCTTAAATATTGATAATATACTTAATAATTTTTTGCACCAACAAAGTTGTGTTTAATACATCCCGATCATCTTCAGCATGCTTATTCTCTTTTACCAATTTTTTAATAGTACTTATACAACTATTAAGATATAAAAATTTCTTATCATTAATCATACCCACTTTGTTAGATCATAAGTAATTGTGTCAGAATCAATAATTTTTACAAGGCACCACATGATTTCAAAAACTAAAAATATGCTAAGTGTAAAGGCTATCATATAGGAATGAAAATAAAAAAAAAACTTGATGATTGAAAAATTGTAGAAACATTGTCAAGAAAGACAAACAGGAGCAAAATATGATAAATGAAATTAGAACAAATTACTAATGAATAAATAACAGACACATCCCTTTTTCTAACTAATACATATATTTTATGTGGACTGTATAATCCTTTAAACAAACAATAAAAAAAAAATCTTAATATTTACCCACTGCCGTTTGGAGGTGATGAATACTGAGAAACTAATACGGGAAATAACACCGTAACATTTATCCAACCGACGAGCAGCTCAATTTAACAATTGTGGCGACAGAGCAATAACCGACCCAAAACACTTGGCATCGATATGACAAGCGGCTGAATAACTGAGCGCAAATGCATAGTAAAATGAATATTCGTTTCACTATGGCCGTACCATTACGACGGAGGTGGTGGCGGTTTTTTAGTGGATAATACGTAGAAGATCGCGGTGTATTGTCAACGCGGAAACTCCGGTCCCTAGACAGCTGCAGAACAATAATATTCTGTTGTCAAATGTCAGCGGCCTACCTGTCCTGACAAACACAAACGTCTATGGTAATTACTGTGTTTTCGTATTTAATTCTATAAACTAGCATCACCCCATATCAACGTGTACCTAACAAATTCAATGAATATATCTTTATAATTCTCCAGTGTCGCATAATAAATAATTCCTATCACGTTTCTAGTATTTTGAGAACTTATAATACATTTGTCGAATTATTAATTCTTTTATAACTTAGTCGCGACTATGTAATTTTACTTTTGTAAGTACGAGTGTTTACTCAACTGAGTACATAAAATAACTGTTTGAAACACAATGAAACAGCTGAAACTCAAACTATACAATAGATAACTGAAAAAGGAGATATTATTCAATGTACCTAAAAATTAATTGTACAATTATTATAAATACCCGGAGGAATGGATCAGGTACAAAGAAAGAAAAAGCTAAACTTGATAACAATAATCTAATGGTAGGGAGTGCGTGCGAAGAGAAACAATACAGTCTATTATTTAAGCAAATAATAAAAATAATAATATTTAATAAAAACTATGTAATAGTAAAAAATATAAAAACACGTGAATTTCAAAATTTACCACTTAACACGCATATTTTTTTACCATGAAAAATATTTCCGTTTTAATAAATATTCACAGTTTGTCGTATTTAAAATACAATTATTTTATTCTTTAAACATCGATAAATAGCAACAAAAACGCAATACAATATTTGTGGCCAACTTGACACAGAGATTTCTGGCGAATGTCAATTGCGCCATACGTCTACTGATTTGACCAAGTATAACGAAATTGAATCGTTTTTTTACTAATGTAGTAATACAAAAATAAGCAAAAAAAGTGTTTGGGGATTTATTTGACCAATGTTGGATATTTGGGGATCTGGTCAATTCAGGAGCAACGAGGTTCTATCGGGGTTGTACAGTCCGAGGGTTTAGAACAGTAAAGACAAGTAGATATAAAAAGATACAAATTAAGTTCCTCTCATGGAGGTATTAAAACGCTGAGGTATTCTTGTAGTGGCCGGGGTCTTGGCCTCCTATCTGACACCCAATCGAAGCGTGATGTTGACTGGTATGTGCTTTAGTGGAAATACTGAGGCGTTCATGGAGTGGCGGAGGCCTCCTCTCAGACACCCAGTCCAAGTATATGACCAAGCACTAACTAGTTATTAATAATTAAATTAAATGATGTTTAAAAAATCTATTGCTTTACCATTCTTTTACTCAGGTTATTAATTCTAAATAATTGGGTTAACATAAATTTACTTACTTCTTTTGTATATATTACGTTCAGATTTATACTGTTCTATTTTTTAGTAAATAAATAAAGTATTTACGCAAAAATAATTGTACTTGAAATCGCTTTTAAAATGTACCGACGACAACACGGGGTCGCGGCTAGTTTGTTCAAAATAAATCAATTAGAAGAATACTGAATTCCTTATTGAATTCAGATCTTCAAAAAGAAGAGAGAATGAGCCGCTCACTCACTCGCTGATGTGCAAGCAGAACTAAGCCTTTTCATATTATTTTTAATTACCCTCATCATGGGTTGTTGTCGTCGGCGCTTTTAGTGATTTTCAGTTTATTGTATAAAATTTGAACATAACATGATAGTTATTTTAAGATAAGATGTATAGTGTACAATAATCAATTTAACATGTATATACATGTATAATAGCTAGTGTACAACAGTGTATATGTTATAACAGATAAATTAATTATTTGTTTGTATACTAGTAATATAAAATACAGATTATACATTTTTCATTGATAAATGCAAAGCATTAGGCATATGACGACACTAACGAGTATCAGCATAGTTGGCACCATTTCAAATAATGCATAAAAGAGTGTTGGATGGTAAGTGACAATCTCTGCTACCCGTGGCACTCAGTTGTCCGGCCATCGTCCCATCCTCAAAGAGCGTCCGTCGTTTTTGTTTATGGATTGTTTTTTTTTTTTGCGATTCGTCTTTTACTCTATGTACATTTTTTTCACGTCTCGCGTCTCATATAATCGTAGATCATTCGATTATTAAACCACTTATAGTTTTTGTTGTCTTTTAGAGTTTTAAACATTACTGGTGTACATTTGTATATTCCATCGTGTACTTGTGTTTTGCATAACAATCTACTATTATTTGAATCGATTAATCATCAAATAAGTTTACAATTTTATTTTCTATTATGTCATATTTTATTAAATTCATTGGTTAATTATTGTTAGAATATAAGTTACCCCTTCCCCTTACTTTTTAAGATTTGATTTTGCACAAATATAATAAACATTATCATATTTTTATGTTGATTAAAAACAAGTATACCTATTTTTCATCCCTCTCTTATTCCTTCCTTGTTTATACAAATAAATAACTCATCACAATAGTAACATCGTTTACTATTAAAGAGTTTCTTGCTACAAAGAGTATTTTTGTAAAAAATGAACTTGTAAATAACAAAATATATTTTGCAAGACTAATTGGTAATACAAAATCAAAATATGCACAATGTTCTGCGTCTCATAAAAATAACACTAGCTAAGAGAAAGGATACAGTCATGCGTTTTGATTTTTTAAATTCTGGACATTAAGTAAGCGCATGTTGTTACATAAATTGCTCAAAACGTTGAAAAATGTTAATCACAGACTTATTAGCGGCCGGCAGCGGTTCACCTGTATTTATTTCAGCGCCGCCGGTCGCGCGATCAGTGACAATACATTTCGGGTTTCGCTAGATGATCGATTTAGGGAAATACATTATGATCGGCGTATTACTATCTTGACTTATATTACTATCTATATTTAGATCAGTGCGACGGTAATACCGTTTCAAAATAAAATTCTCTACCTGTAGAATATTTTCTAAAAAGATGATTACGATAATTTTACAACGCTATCCGACTCTTTCGAACAGCGAAAATTGAAATAATTTTATCTTACTAGATAATGTTATTCTGACAATTTTCATTTATGGTGATGTTTTAAAAAACTCGATCAAGTCATAAATGAGTCAATAAGTTGTGCTAAGTATTCGAAGTGATAAAAAAAAAATTAAATGAACGTTTGCACAATAATGGAGATGTGGCACAAGTTGAGACAAATATAGATGATGTGCGATAGTAATTAAAATCGCTATCGTAAAAGCGGATTCCCACGACTGGTGTACTTGCCAAATATTTGTCACTTGTGTATAATTGTCAAGCCGTCGGTACACTATACTTGTACAATTATTGGTCACTTGTCAGTTTCCCGCGGATTGTCGGTAAATGTGACACAAGTCGAAGGAATAAATGGCTTGACAAGTTTACACTTGTAGGTCAGTAGTGTACACTTGTGTACTTGTTAAGTACTTGGCCAATATTTGATTTGAGAAAGGCTATCGGTAACATAATTGGTTCTTCCCCACCCACCTATATTTGTACAGTATAGCGGTGGTTCATATTGGCCTAATTAGTTAATTAAATTTAATAGATAGGTAAAACTATTTTATAGTATAATTGTAAATATAATTTAATAGTTAACGTTAATTTTATAATGTATTAATTATATAACTTAACTTATTAATTTATAAATATTAAGTATAAAGTATACATTGAATATATTATTGAATAGTTCAATATTTTACTAAAATGTTTATACTTGTAAAATTCTGTTTTATTTTTGCAAGTAAAAAATTATATACGGTGTTATAATATGGTGCGTAGCTAAAACACTATTAGTTTTACTCTGTCGTGTTTTTTCCTTTAATTTTTAGGGAATCTAGCCTCCTCAAATCATGAAAATGATGAAAATCGGCCAATTTTTTGTTTTTGTAACCCGGCTCATAGATATTAAGTAAAATGATAACTCTTTACGTTTGTATCACCTTTAAGTAATCATAATAACAATGCAAGCAAAAAATGAATATAGGTAAGTAAATAAATAAAAGGCTTTACTGGAAATGCCAAATTACTAAAAAAAAGTAGATAAATGTATTAATGTTATAAATTGAATGCGTTTCATTATCAAAAGTTATATTAATCGTAGTAAAATGTTTTAAAGTAATGAAGGAGCATTATGTATTATGCGAGAATTTTCATTATTATAAATGTCAGAACAAATTTTAAAAAGAAAATAATTCTTTGCTATTAAAATACATATTTTTAAAAAAGTTAACTTAAGTTGATTTTTTTCAAACACTTAATACTAGGTTAAAACATATATTTGTTTTTTTTTTTTTACTTCGCTGAAATAACTCTACAAAAAATTAATTTAACGAGTTACAACAATATATAAACTTGCTCATTCTGATAGACTTTTAAAAAAATTATATTTTATTAAAAATAATTGAAGTATAATTTTTATATAATTCAGGAAAGTGTTATTAAACTTTGAGTGTAACTACACGCAATGGCATCACCTATATTTACTATTAGTATTAATTCATCGTCGTCGTCAAGAAGTGAAATTTGTTTTTTGTATCAGTAATTAAATATTCTTTGTTGACCAAACATTTTCGATTAAATGAAATTAAACTATTGAAAAGTAACTATGGTTTATTACATATTATTTATTATCAATATAAAAGTTTTTTCAACTTAAAAATAAAATCGAAAAAAATAGTAACAAGACACTTTTTTACACGACAACAAAAGAATTAATTATTCATACTATAGTTAATAATAACTAAAATTTTAAAAATTATACATAAAAAAAAGGAAATTTACTTAGGTAGGAAATATTAATAAATTATTTGTCTACTTAAAATCGATTAATAAATGTAATTTACTAGTTATTAACGTAAAGTTTACCTTTGTCTGCCTTTATATAACGACATCGTTATCCACCATCTTCTTTCTTTTTTCAATTAAATGTTTGTACTTTAAATACTTTCCACACATAATTATGTATAAATAGTCATTTTCCATTATCACTAGCCATTTTAATGAACTTAAGGTTAATTAAATAAATAAAACCTAAAAATTATAGGTAAAAGTTAAAGAACTATCTTAACAAAAAAATATTAAACTAAAAGGTATCAAAACTAGCAATACTAAAAAATGTATTTTAAATCACTCACTAAAACGTCCTGAGAAGGTATTGGTTTTACTATGACGTGTTTTTTTTTTTGTGTCTGTTTCCACATTTTTCAGCTTTCACCGAACCGATTTCTTTCAACGATACGTCAAAAGATCACAAATCGTATCTAGTCGAAGGCATTACCCTCAAAAATTGAAAAAATTTCCCTCGTTCCCCGGAAATGGGGGATACCTCCAAAAAAATTACAAATTTAAAAATCGCTAATTTTCGAAATTTTTTTAATTTTTTTTACTTAAAACTGCCATAACTTTTTCAAAAATGAACAAATCAATATAATTTTTTTTTTATAGATGCTTGATGTCTTTACCTATCATTTGGTATACTTTTTTTTATAAATTTAACCCTTTACCAGCCTACGGGAGGATTTAATATGACAACTTTTTCACAAAAAATTTAATTTTTCAACTTAACTTTTGAAAGTGTTCCAGAAATACTGACACTTTTATATATATCTTAAATTAAAGCTAATGTAATATACGTTATTAATAAAAAAAAAATTTCGGACTTTATTTTGTCTTCACGGTGAAAATGGCTACCGAATGCTTTTTTTGTGTGAAAATTCTCGATTTTGTATTTTACATTTTTAACTTTATTATGCTATAACTTTTTGAAAAATGTATGGATCAATTCAATATTTTCATGAGAAGTTGTATTTATATACATCTTTCATTCGAAATCCTTTTTTTTAAAATAACACCATTTTTCTTTATATATTATAAATATATATATATATATTCATATGTATTACACTTCTAAATCATAAAACTTGTAATCAGAATAAAAATAAAGAAATAGAAGATCAGTTAACTTTTGGAATAATCCACAAATTTTTTTAAATTAAACACTATCTACAGATTTGCATCGAAGCGTTTTTTATGATAGTAATTTTAATCACTGTCAGATATCATCTATACTGTACCCAACTATGCCACGACCCCACTGTGCCTCCCCCCCCCCGTGCTGGGTTTTTTTTTATGCGACCGGCATAAGTGTGGGCCGCCCTGCAACTGCCGTTAGGTATTACTTCAGGGCGGTCACGCCGTCTCTAAAACTCACAACACCACGTTGTGAATCAGTTCGAAATTAATCAAAAGATGATGCACAACGTGGTGTGACCTCCCCCATTATCCGGATCTCGGAGTGGGATCCGTTACCCGGGTTGCACCACGTGGATGTGGGGCAGGACTTTTCGAGAGGGGCAAATAATTCACAAAAACATAAAATACGAATACCTAAGCCGCCAGCCTAAACCAGCGCCTCAGGTCCTCCTGTGCCGGGCGGCGTGGCTGCCTCTGTCTCAGGCGTTCCGCTTCCTCTTTCTTTAACAAGACGGATTTGGCGAACGCCTGGACGAGCCACCACACCTTCCGGTTCCTCAACATCAGGTCCACCATGGACCCGATTTGGAACATGGACCCTAGTCGAGACTCCAAAGAGTTCCGCTCCTGGGCCCACGCCTCGCACCGGAAGAGGCTGTACAGAGCGCTGTCAGCCTCTCCCGGGCGATCCGAACAGTGGTCGCACGTCGGCGCGGCTGCTTTACGAATACGGTGTAAGTACTCGTTAAAGCAACCATGTCCGGACATCACTTGGGTGAGACGATATGTCATCTCACCGGAGTCCGGTCCGCCCACCTGTCCAGCCGATCGGGTCCTATGAGGGACCTAGTCCACTCGCCTCTCGTCGTTTCCTCCGAGAGGCGAGTCCGCCATCGGAGCATGGTCATCCGTCTGAGCGCCAGCCTGTCCTCGGGTTCCGGCTGGTTCGACCATCGAGCGCCGACGGTGAACGCTCTTTCCGGTGTAAGACATCTTACGGGCCTTTACGCGTTCCTATATTCTGTCTTTGGTCACATTCTTCTCTAAAAATTAACTTGTTTTGTTACTCTTAATGTACTTGTTAATAAGTTTATAAGCTAGCGAAACATTTATAGTGTTACGGTATTGTTTTTTTTTTTTTTTTGTTGTATTGTAATAATTAAATATACCATCGAACTGGCCAGTGCCGTTAAAATTATTGTTGAACTTTATTTTACTGTCAATTAATAAACATTAAGACTTATCCATGTCATATTTAATAAATTTGTTCAACTTTAACGGCCATTTACACATAGAAGATTGGTCGTCGAGACATTTTTTTTACTTATAGTATGTAACATAACCTTTAATTTAACAATTATTTAAAGGACGCAGTATATCTGAAACATATTCAAACGTCAAGTTTGAAAAAATTGACTTTTGTATAAAATTTGCTATTTTGAATGCCTCCTGTGGGTAGATAACGGGTTAGATTTTGGAAAAAAATATATCAAATGAAAGGGTAATACTTAAGGTTTCTATAAAAATTATGTTGATTTTATCGTTTTTGAAAAAATAATGGCAGTTTTAAGAAAAAAAATGACGAAAGTTACAGATTTTAAAAATTAAAATTTTTTTGGAAATTTTCCCCATTTACAGGGAACGAGGAAAATTTTTTCAATTTTTAAGCGCAATGTCTTCAACTAGATACGATATGTGATCTTTTGACGTTACGTTTAGAAAAATCAATTCAATGAGAATAAATAGAATAAATAGGAACATAAAAAAAATTACATATCATAGTAGAATTAATACCTTCTCAGCATGGTATCAATGTGAAATCTCGATTAATAAAAACAGTTGTTTGTACCGTGATTATTACAGAACTCTATAATGGCAACACTTTTTACAAAATTAAATAAATGTTGATAAGATTAATTAAAATTTAAAATTTACATGTCTTTAAAAATATAAAACAGCTGACTTAAAACCATATTTAATGACAGTTTAATGATTTCAAATTATAATATAAAATTAAAAATATATATAAAATCTTTTTATATTTGTTCTTACACAAAGCTAAATTAAAAACATAACCATTTAGCTAAAACCATAAAATAATAATTCAAATTTTGAATAGTTATTACTGTAAGAAATAGCTAGTAAATATCAAATAAATTTCGCCGGACACATGTTTCATAAAATAAAATCAATACGAATAAAAAAATATAAAAATCTAATAATAGATATTCTACTATATATATATATATATATGAAATGACTTTTAAAAATATTTTATATTTTAATATGTTTACTCGTATTCATATTTCGTTACAGTTTAAATAAATATGATTTTTATAACTATTTTATCAATTTTATTATTTAATTCGAAAACGGTGAAATCTGTTGACAATGAACGACATTGTAATTTTTCTAGATACATGTTGAATTATTTTAAACTTAATGAGCATTATTTGCTTCAAATGTATTCAAATTCTGAAATGTATACCGAAGAAGATTTAAAGAAATATGGGCAAGCTATTCAAACTCATGGCGATGTTGTATTATTGATGATTCAAGAACTACATAAAATTAATGAAAATAATGTTATATTTGACTTGATGTCGGTAAATTTATATTTAAACAATAACTCTGGTTCGGTAAATTTAATGTATAAATATCAGACGGCTAATAATGTTGATAACAACAAAGTTTTTCTTGGTATACAAGGATTAAAATTACAAAATAATTCTATGATTACAATAATAGAACGTTTTATTGAGATGCATTGTTTAAATAAACCAATATCAGCATTTGTCGAATATCCTAATGAATACATATCTCATCAATTAAATATTGATGCGTTAGACATAGATATAAAAGATTTAAGAGAAAAAATAATTAAGGAAATAAATCCAGAAATAGTTGAAGAAAACAATTTAACAAGGTTCCACCCTAGAAATATGTTATTTTATGATATAATGTTAAACCAGTCAGACAAAAATGTTACAACAGGTACTGAATCGAGACAACATCAAGAATTTGTTAATTTTCAACAAAAAAACATTTTAGACCTTCTTCGATTTGTTCCTCTTAATTTACAGTGTGCTGACAAATCTGACCTGACTATAAATGATGTGTTTCGTTATGTGAATTATCAATATATGTATGTTGATGTAAGAGCATTCCAAACGCTTATGCTTGCTGCTGCTTTTCATCCTGTTGGAATGCTTATAGCTAATTACATACAATTTGTATCTGCAATTATTCAAGTTGGACCAAACCCCATAAATTACCAAAAAACTGACAAACTACGTGTACATCATTTAGGTAAAAGAATTAAAAATTTACTACAACAGTTTATTGATTTAAATATTTTTATTGGAATCGCGTATAATTTTCTTGTGTCTATTATGAATAAATTTTATGTAATTTTATCTTGGGTTCAAGGCATACCACTTAAAGTAGTAAATTTACCAAATATAATCTTGACAAAATTAAAAGAATTCATGGATAGAAATTTATTAAAGTTTAATGTAGAATCAGAAACAATCGCTATAGATCAAAATGTAATACACATACATGACAAAATATTAATAGTTGAATTATATCATCAAGAACTCATAAAACATACAAATTTATTTAAATTGATTTATACTACAAAAAATTTAGAAAGAATTTGCGTTAAGAACTACAAATGGTTCTTACTACCAATTTTAATTGGTAAGCATTAATTTAATTTTACTTTATTAAATACAAACATGACAAATCTAATAACTTTTGCTCTATTAGATAAATTACTTTATTTTCATTTTTAAACAATTGTCAGATATTTAGTAGAGTAATTTTTAAGAAAAAAATTGATGTATAATTTTTTACTAAATCCTTGTGATTAAATATCTAGAGTACTCTAAAGTTTCTAAAAAATTTTATTTTGATACGTATTTTAAGGTATTTAACGATAATATTTATATAAGGAAGTAATTAATTTAAAAAAAAAGAATTAACTTATAATCACTTGAATAAATACTGATAATTTTACCCAGATCTTTTACATTAGATTAGTTCGTATAAATGTTTTCAAAAGCTTAATAATTTATGATATTAAATTAATAGTTCATAAATATTATCTTTTTTTTTTTTTTGTAAAGACAAAGTAAAATATATTAGATATTTAACCATAAAAGAAAAAAGAAAATTTTGATATCAAACTCTTTTATAAAATTTATTCTACAAAAAAAAAGCGGAATAAAATCAATAAATTATCAGACTCGCATCGAAACCAAAACATTTTATAAATTAAAATTATTATCCAAATAATTTTACGACGTGTTAATTAAAATAATTTAGTATGTTGCATACTTTTAATACTAGTAAAACATATTGAAATTAGTATCTCCTATTTTTCTTAATATTAAACCTAAATGTTACTATTTTTGATAAATTGTTATAATTTGCAGATTATTTATGCACAGATAACCCTATAGATTATTGTAACAGTGATAACGATAAATGCATTATTAACGATAGCAGTAGTGAAATTAATATCTACGACCTCGGAAATAATGATGGTTTGGAAGAATTCAAAACTGAAAATATTGAACATTTCAAAAAAGATGTTTTTAAAAACAAAAAAAATAAAAGTATGAATCCATTAATTGACATGAAGGATGTTCCTAGACACATGATGGATTATTTCATTTGTCGTAAATAGGAAATTATATTTTTATAATAATAAAGGATTAGTATACTAGTGACTACCTGTGTTATTTTATACATTTTAATCATATTCCATATTTTATCATAGAAAATTTAATTATTATTATTTATTATAATTATATTTTTCATTATTTTAAACTATCAATAATAAATAACAAATAATAAGAGATCTTAAAATTATTTTTGCATTTTAATTACTTGAACAATAATTAATGATAATTGTTATAATTGTTATTAATATTTTTTTAGTTTCTATGCGAAGCTGAGAAGATATTAATTTTACCATTGGGTTTTTTTTTGTGTACGTCTGTTGCCACTTTTTCTCAGCTCTCACTGTACCGATATTGATGAACAATACGTCAAAAGATCACAAATCGTATCTAGTCGAAGACATTACCCTTAAAAATTGAACAAATTTCCCTCGTTCCCCCTAAATGGGGGAAATTTTCAAAAAAATTACAATTTTTAAAATCGGTAACTTTAGTCATTTTTTAAAAATTTTTTTCTTAAAACTACCATAACTTTTTTAAAAATAAACAAATCAAACTTTTTTATATTAAGACCTTAAGATTTTTCCCTTTCATTTGAAATAATTTTTTTGAAAATATAACACTTAACCTGCTCATAGGGAGGGATTCAAAATAGCAACTTTTTTACAAAAACTAACTTTTTCAACTTAATTTTTGAAAATGTTCCGGAAATACTGCATCCTTTAAACATATATCAAATTTAAGCTTAGGTCATGTACATTAAAATGAAAAAAAAAATTTGACCAAATACCTTATCTTCTACATGCAAACGGCTGTCGTAGTTCAAAAAATGATATTTTTGTATTAAAGTTTTCGATTTTGAATTTTCAAATTGCTAAAGCTTTTCGAAAAATGTAAGTATCAACACACAATTTTTTTTCTAAATACAATATGAATACATAATATTCATTTGACATCATTTTTTTTTAAATCAGACCATTTCTCTTTATATATTTATATATTATAAACAAACCCTGCACAGGGGGATCGCGGCACAGTGGTGACGTGACATATTTGGATCAAGTATAATGATATCTGACAGTGATTAAAATCACTATCAAAAAAAACGCTTTGATGCAAATCTTTAGATAGTGTTTAATTTTAAAAATTTGGCGGATTATTCCAAAAACTACATGATCAGCTATTTCCTTATTAATATCCTCATTAAGATAAAGTATGTCGAATGAAAGATATATATAAATACAAATTCTCATGAAAATATTGAATTGATCGATACATTTTTCAAAAAGTTATAGCATAATAAAGTTAAAAATGTAAAATACAAAATCGAGAATTTTCACACAAAAATAGCATTTGGGAGCCATTTTCACCGTGAAGACAAAATAAAGTCCGAATTTTTTTTTTTTAATAATAAAGTATATTACATTAGCTTTAATTTAATATATCTATAAAAGTGTCAGTATTTCTGGAACACTTTCAAAAGTTAAGTTGAAAAATTTAATTTTTTGTGAAAAGGTTGTCACTTTGAATCCCCTCTTGTGGGCTGGTAAAGGGTTAAATTTATAAAAAAAAGTATACCAAATGATAGGTAAAGACATCAATTATCTATAAAAAAAAAATTATATTGATTTGTTCATTTTTGAAAAAGTCATGGCAGTTTTAAGTAAAAAAAATTGAAAAAATTTCGAAAATTAGCGATTTTTAAATTTGTAATTTTTTGGAGATTTCCCCCATTTACGGGGAACGAGGGAAATTTTTTCAATTTTTGAGGGTAATGCCTTCGACTAGATACGATTTGTGATCTTTTGACGTATCGTTGAAAGAAATCGGTTCGGTGAAAGCTGAAAAATGTGGAAACAGACACAAAAAAAAACACGTCATAGTAAAACCAATACCTNGTTGAAAAAGTTCTACTTTCTATATGCATTTTTTATATTTGAAGCCCCCCCATATATAGGGAAATAGTCTGATTTAAAAAAAAATCCAATATATAGTATATCCAATGAAAGATGTATATAAATACTATTTCTCATGAAAAAATTGTATTGATCCATACATTTTCTAAAAAGTTATAGCACTTTANTTTTGATACCTTTTAGTTTAATATTTTTTTGTTAAGATAGTTCTTTAACTTTTACCTATAATTTTTAGGTTTTATTTATTTAATTAACCTTAAGTTCATTAAAATGGCTAGTGATAATGGAAAATGACTATTTATACATAATTATGCGTGGAAAGTATTTAAAGTACAAACATTTAATTGAAAAAAGAAAGAAGATGGTGGATAACAATGTCGTTATATAAAGGCAGACAAAGGTAAACTTTACATTAAAAACTAGTAAATTACATTTATTAATCGATTTTAAGTAGAAAAATAATTTATTAATATTTCCTTATTAAATCCTCTCGTGGGCTGGTAAAGGGTTAAATTTANAATACACTTTTCAATAAGTTATAGCATTATAAAGTTAAAAATGTAAAAAATAAAATTGAGAATTTTCACACAATAATAGCATTTGGTAGCCATTTTCATCGTGAAGACAAAATAAAGTCCGAAATTTTTTTTTTACATAATAAATTAGATTACATTAGCTTTAATTTAATATATATAAAAAAAGTGTCAGACTTTCCGGAACACTTTCAAAATTTTAGTTGAAAAAGTAAATTTTTTGTGAAAAAGTTGTCATTTTGAATCCCCCCCTGTAGGCAGGTAAAAAGTCAGATTTATAAAAAAAAGTATACCAAATGATAGGTAAAGACATCAATCATCTATNTGTTTAATTTTAAAAAAATTGGTGTTTTATTCCAAAAGCTACTTGATCTGCTTGTTCCTTATTAATATCTCGATTAAGATAAAATATGTCGAATTATAAAGTTAAATATAATATAAAAAATAAAATCGAAAATTTTCACACAAAAATAGCATTCGGTGCCGTTTTCACCATGAAGACAAGTCCAGAAGTCAATTTTTTTTTTTCAAATTAAAGTATATTACATAAGCTTCAATTTAAGATATATATAAAAGTGTCAGACCTTCCTGAACACTTTCAAAATTAAAGTTGAAAAAGTTCTACTTTCTACATGCATTTTTTAGATTTGAACCCCCCTCGTATANGTGTCAGACCTTCCGGAACACTTCCAAAAGTTAAGTTGAAAAAGTTCTATTTTCTATATGCATTTTTATGTTTTGAATCCCCCCTATATTAAGGGAAATGGTCCGATTTAAAAAAATAGTATGTCGAATGAAAGATCTATATAAATACTACTTTTCATAAAAAAATTGTAATGATTCATTCATTTTTCAAAAAGTTATAGCATAATAAAGTTAAAAATGGAAAATACAAAATCGAAAATTTTCACACAAAAATAGCATTCGGTAGACATTTTCACCATGAAGATAAAATAAGTCTGGAAATTTTTTTTTTTCATGATAAAGCATATTACATTAGCTTTAATTTAAGATATATATAAAAGTGTCAGACCTTCCGGAACATTTTCAAAATTTAAGTTAAAAAAATTAATTTTTTGTGAAAAAGTTGTCATTTTAAATCCCCCCTTGTGGGCAGGTTAAGGGTTAAATTTATGAAAAAAATATACCAAATGAAAGGTAATGATATTATGCATCTATATAAAAAAGAATTATATTGATATGTTTATTTTTGAAAAAGTTATGGCACTTTTAAGTAAAAAAAATTGAAAAAATTTCGAAAATTAGCGATTTTTAAATTTGTAATTTTTTTGGAGGTTTCCCCCTTTTACGGGGAACGAGGGAATTTTTTTCAATTTTTAAGGGTAATGTCTTCGACTAGATACGATTTGTGATCTTTTGACGTATCATTGAAAGAAATCGGTTCGGTGAGAGCTGAGAAGAAGTGGTAACAGACAAAAAAAAAAATAAATAAATAAATAAACACATTATAGTAAAACCAATACCTTCTCAGCTTCGTATCGAAGCTAAGATGTCAAAATTAGCGATTTTTAAATTTGTAATTTTTTGGGGGGTTTCCCCAGTTTACAGGGAACGTGGGAATGTTTTTCAATTTTTGAGGGTAATGTCTTCGACTAGATACGATTTGTGATCTTTTGACGTATTGTTCATAAAAATCGGTCCAGCGATAGCTGAGATTGAGTGTTCACAGATACAAAAAAAAATCACGATATAGTAAAATTAATACCTTTTCAACTTCTGATCGAAGCTTTTATCTTTTACTTGAGCTAGATTGAACTATGTATAAGCAAAGATACAAAATCACTTTTAAAATTTTTGTTTTTTATCAAGAACGCAGCGTGTAAATGTTCTTGTCGAAAAAAATTCTTCATCTTCTTCTTTTTAGTATTAAAACAACAAAATCAATGTAACAAAACGATTGTTTGTAAAATTATTAATAATTGAATACAAGCGCGCAAAAAAAATTTTCTTTTTCAAACAACAACAAACTGATTTATTTTTGACTATAAACATCTGTGTATGAAACAAATTGGTATCACGTGGCAACTTATATTTTACTATTTATATGTTTTTGAGACATTTACATAATTTAATTTAATTAAGAGATTTTCAAACATAGCACTCAAAAAACTATAATCATAATATATGTTTTATTTAGTATTACAAAATTTCATATAATATAATTTATTTAATTTTAAAAAACATTTAAACAATTTAAATTGTCATACNAATTTATTTAATTTTAAAAAATATTTAAACAATTTAAATTGTCATACTAAATACTAATTATTAGCTACTAATACACAAAGAATATGTGCGATTTTGTATAATATTATTTGTTTTAAATAAACATTAGTATATATAATTTCTAGTGATTGGCATTTTCGAATATTTTTAACTATCGAATAGTATTCAATAGTTTTAAAAAACTATCGAATAACTATTCGAATTCTTTTATAAGTACACTTAATTATAATATGAAGATAATTAACGAATACTTAAAATAAATTATTATACAATTAATAATAGTAAAAACTACCATTTTACAAGTATTTCAGAAGTTATAGCATTTTAAAAAATGAACTGGGGTGAGTCGCAGGTATATATTATGGTGGCTCTTATTCTTAATTTTCGAAATAATCATTTTACAACAAAATGTTTCGTAAAAAAAAATATGTAAAGTTAAATTTTCCAAATATTAGTCTTATATAGAATTATAGTCAGATGTATAGTTTTGCTGTTTTAATAACACAATCGATCTAAATAGGATTGTCTAAAACTGTTTATTCAGGTTACTACGATTATAAATAGGATACAATTAATAATAAAAAAAATTAGTGATGGGCATTTTCAAATATTTTAAACTATCGATTAACTATTCGATTTGTGTTTATACCACCGAATAGTTTTTTTTAGCCACCGAATTTTTAGCATAAACTATCTAATATTTTAAAAACCATTCGAATGGAGGTACCAAATAGTTTTTAAAACTATTCGAATATATTGTGTAACTATCGAATATTTTTACTATTCGAATAGTTTTTGAATGATTATCGAATAGTTCGATAGTTACTATTCGGTATTTCCAATCACTAATAATATCAATTATGTGTCATATCACACGAGTCCGATAATATTTAATGTTAAATTAAAATCTCTATCTAGTGGATATGATAAAAAAAAAATTACATTCTTAATATTTAGTGACTTTAATAGATCGCGCTTACTATTTTCGATTTGAATTCCAAATAGCGGTACATATATGCTATTTAACCGACACCAATGCTTTTTTGGTAGTTGCGTTGAACTTCAGCTGTCTTATTTATTTTGGTTGTTAATTCGTAAAGCATTTGTATGTGTGAAATTGAGGGAAACTTATGTACATCACGTTATACAGGGTATGATCTAATTAAGCAAATTGAATACCAATAATTAGTTTTTCCACAATCCTAACTGAAAAGTTAGGAATTACAGTTTTTTAATTAATAATTGTTGCAATAAAAATGAATTTTTTCTTCTATATGTATATATTTCAACATCATGATATATATTGACTCGGTCAGTGGTGTTCATTGAAATATAAGGTGAGAAAAATATTCTAATGTTTCATCCAGTAAAAAATTCTCAGCATTAAAATCTTCACAGATATTATAGAAACCCTCGGCCGACGTATCTCGTGAAATTGAGTGGACAGTTATTGTCACAGCTAATATTAATTACCGCGTGTCTACTAGTGTTGGCAAAGCAGAGAAATATCTAATACACAAAATGACTAATGACAAAGAATAAACATTATATTGTTATTATACTATTAACGCAGTGTTATGCGTAACAATACAACAGTATTTGATCCGTCACAGATTGAGTAATCACCGTAGAAGTCGCTGTAGAGGTACCGCCATGATCGTTAGTTCGACTGCTTTATTTTTTATAATACACATTTATTTCCATCAATTTTTATTTCATCACATCACTGATGACATTTAAGATTCACTGTTCAACACAGTAGTGTTCATAGTTAACCACCACGCACGATGTATTGAATTAAAACAGTCTCATGACAACACAATCATTATAATTACATTAAAATGGTACATAAAATGTGATCTGGACTCTTTTCTCATAAAAAATTTAACAAACAGTAAAATGAGTTACCATGCACTGTCATGAACCATTTATTTTAAATAGTTGTTCACGAATAAAATGTTCGATAACTATTTTCTTATTTAAACTTTTGGGGAAATATAAAAGTTCAATAGCATTTCGCATACTAAACAAATGTTTTATTGCATTGAAAAAAACTTGGCAAAAACAAAAAAATATCAGCAAATAATATTCAAGTAAATTTATAATTCTGATAATAATATAATAAGAATTGATCACTTGTGGCTAATATTATTTTATAATAAAAATATAATCAAAATAGGAAATATTTAAATTAAAAGCCACAAAAAATACTAACAAATCGCTTATACACATTTCGAGAACAGTATTGTCATCTTCATCGCTTAACACATACTAATAAGTCTATAGCGCATTAAGCTCTACGAGTTAAATAGTTTTAAATTAATATTTTTAATAGCTTGATAAATTCATATAATTTATTTGAATTGTTATTCTATAATAATTTTTTATTTTGATTGTATAGCGTAGCCAAGGGAACTCTTATTAACTGCAATATTTATCTCTAAAATTAAATCATTAAAAAAAGATCTGAAATATGTAGTTGTAGAATATTATACTATGCTCCTTCTCATTTTAAAATCCTACAACATACGTTAACATTTTCCCCTAAAAAATCAAAATTATTCTAAATAGCTTAATGCAATAAAATGTTTACTTTATTATCTTGTATTTTTGATTCAATAAATATATCTTTATAATTCTATCACGTAAATAAGTTTTTTGAAAAATTATAATAAATTTTTCAAGATATTGATTCTTTTAAAACTTGGTCTTGGCTACGCGATTTTACTTTTGTAAGTGCAAGTGTTAACTCGACTGAGCACATGTAATAACTATTTGAAACAACGAAGTAGCAATAACTTAAAGGAAACCTGATTACCAAAATACACAACTTTATTAATTGGTCATTTTTAATTGAAAACCGTTGCTGATTCAAAATAATATTATCACATGAATAAAATCAAAAAATATCTAAATAAATACTATGATTATAAACAGAACATGTTGCAGTATATGTTAAAAGTTTTTAACTTAAAGAATTAAGGTCTCCAAATATAGAAACTTTTATTTATTTAACACGTCTAAAACCATTATTGAACCATTTAAATTGCACACTCGAGTTATTTATAAAATATGATCTAACTTGTTAAGAGTTTTGCTAAACCAATATAATGCCTGTTTGCACTAATTAACAATTGACCGTAATTTTTATATAAAGCAAATTGTAATGAGAGTAATTATTGTACAAATATAATTGATCCTTGCGAGATTATTTACAGAACACTAACTGGTTTCATAACAATATCAACATTTTCTTACATTTAATTGGAATTGAAGTACAGTATAGCTAAATGAAATACTCTAAGTGGAAATTGATGTCGCAAATGATTACCGAATTACAAACCGAATACATTCATCAATTATAAAAGTTAAGTAATATAATAAATTTGGAATTAAAAATTTAATTAAAACATTTGTAGAAGAGTAAAAACAAAAGCACAGATTTCAAATTTACTGCACTTGAATTTTTAATCCGCATTATTCAATAAAGATCATCAAATTACATTAATAACAGGTTATTTACAAAAACAACACACGATTGGTATGCTTTAAATTTATTTTTATTTACAATAACTAAAAATATCGTAAATTAACTATAGCATTTTTCATCATTGTTATCATTAATATTAAATTATTACAATAAAAAATTAGGAACTGGTAGATTTCTCTGTTTTTTTTTTTGTTTTTTTTATACATAGATAACTGAAAAAGGAGATATTATTTAGTGTATCTAAAAATTCATTATACAATTAATATAAATACTCAAGGGGAATGGATCGGGCACAAGGGAAGAAAAAGCTAAACTTGATAACAATAATCTGATGGTGGTAGGGAGTGCGCTCGAGGAGAAACGATACAATCTACTTTTTCAACAGAGAATAACAGCAATAATTTACATTAAAAATAATAATAAATAAATAACTATATAATAATATAAAATATAAAAACGCATAAATTTCAAAATTTACCACTTTACACAAATTATTTTTTTTTTTTTTTTTTTATGAAAAACATTTTCGTTTTAAAAACATTCACAGTTCCTCATATTCAAAATACGATTATTTTATTTATTCATTTTATTCTTTGAACATCGATAAATAGTAGCAAAAACGAAATGTATTAGGGCTGCACATTTTCTGATGGGAAAACATATAGATTAAAACGATTATTTTAAAAGGTAAAAAATATTATAATATTACATTAATATTATCCAAATATATATATATATATATATATATATATCTTGTTTATGACGGGTAGTGAAGGGGATTTAAAAAAAAGGTAGAGTATAGGGAGAAATTGACAAACGGAGAACTGAGACTGGTCTAAAAAGTCGTGTCGCGTGCGCTTACTTTTTTCACTTTTTCGTACAAAAAACCAAAAAAAAATTTATCGGACACAAAGAATAAACGACAAGACGAATTTATGCGTATTGATTTTTGTTTTCAACATTAAATATTAAATAAAAAAAAAATTGGAAAATTGGTCACGAAAAACATAATATATNAAAAAAAAAAACATATATATATATATAATTATAATTTTTATAAATGTGTGGAAAATCTTTGGCGGAATAATTGTTTTGTGATGTGGTTCACCAAAAAATTGTTATTGGTGGCCGGCCGCCACTCCGGTCTGGGCTCAATTTAGTGTCCGTTTGTTGTGTATGTCACGCATCTCGTCCAGGTATGTTTTATTATCCAATGGTTGTCGCTCGACTTGGTCGTCTCATACGATCAGCGGTTCTTGTCGCGAACTACCTTCCGGACCGTCAACGGGACGCGTCACGGACTCCTGCGAAAGGAAAAAAAATTATACGTATTAGCGTGTCGTCGTCGTGAAATTGCACGTGCAATTGGCTGCTAAAGGTCATTCCGAAAGAGAAAATAGTTTCGCAACGATTTACGGTTGTTAGAGCATTGACGACGACGTCGGGCAAAAAAAAAAAAAAAAAAAAAAAAACATAAATCCTTAACTCGCTTCGACCCACTTGCCAACCACCAACGGCAACTTTTAACTTGTAAATCGTCGTTGGGCTATAATTTTTTATGCTTTTTAAAAGTCTTTTCACGGTAAACGAGAGAACCGACACATTGTCGTCGTCGTCGTCGTCGTAGTGTACGGACGGGCATAAAACGGTCGTAAAAAAATTTGCACGTTGGAAAAATAAATACCACACGGAGAACGCACTAAGACAATAAACAACTATAGATCAAATTCGCGTCGGGCTGCTTAACATACTCGCCTGCGCCATGTTTGGCAGTGTACGGCGGCGGCACAGATCGCTCGCTGAAAACACACGGCGGCATTGGACGCGTCGTCGATGGCAACGGACGGGCGGCAGCAACCAAATCGGTTTTCTTATGGTTCCCAAATTGCAAAGGCATTCTATACTTTTCATTGAAATCTCACGGGACAGGAGAAAAAAAATCTCGGCCACGGCGAAACGATCCGTGACGTCGAACGCGAGCAAAAAAAAAAAAAAAAA